CGAGACTACCTGCAAAAGCTAAACGGGTCACTACTGCGGATTTTTGTCATCCAAGTACGCGGAAGTTGCATAATAAACCTCTATTTTAAATTTTTTATATCACAATAGTTTTAAATCTCGTAAATGGCAGATTTTGAATATCAATCGGAATCTTATTATAGTAGCTATACTTTGAGACTTTATGAAGACGACTGTCAAGAATGGCTAGTTTATTTGTATTCCTCGTATTAATGTTATGTCTGTCACTATATTTTTCCAAACATAAATTACAAGGAGTTCTTAGGTTTTCGCGATTGTAACAAACCGAACTTTCGGGCCCTTTACAGGTCCCATCACTTTACAAGTCACGGTTGACTGAGGTGGTACAGTCTTCAACCAGTTATGTCTAATATTGATGCAAACCACCCTATTTTTTCACTATAGTTACAATAGTTGTTAATTAAATACCTTATTTTTAATTTTGAAATAACAAATATACGCGATTGAAATCCTGAAAAATACTTTCATTTCCTATAAATTACAAAGGTTTTGATCCCCGGGCGGGTCAATGTAGAAACAAAATTTTCTATATTGTCTCGGCTCCGGGTGTTTGTGCTACCATCGTCGTTTACGATTTCCATAACACAAGTACTTTAGTTACTTACTTTGGGACATCGAGTATATAACTAGAAATAGAGATCGAATAAGGGCTATCCATCGCTGGCTGTTCCATTCGGTGGTGTGGAAAAAACAGCAAAACATCTAATTACAAAACAAACGGAATCACATTACATCGGTAATTCAACGTGTAGTTTTTAAATTTTCGTCCATTACATCAAAGCTTAAGTTAAACTGGTCGTTTTGGAGGGAAACAATTGACGACACCTGTCAATTGTTTCGAATTGGGGCTGGCCAATCGGAGTGCAGTCGTCACCGTAATGATTTAGCAGAATAGTTTTCTTTTTTTTCTTTTTTTTTTATTTATTTATTCAGGGAAACAAACAGTCATAAAACAGGGGTTCTACTAAAACCTTGATTAAAATAATTAGACCTAGAGTTCCACAAATATACACAAGAAATAGTGAGCAAATACGGTTCAACTACAAAGCATAAGAATTATTAATAACATATCATAAAATAACAATACCCGATAAATAAAAATGCTTATAAATTTTTTTGAAAAATTAACAACAAATAGGTAAACTAATAAACTTAAAAAACTACTTCTCTTACTTTCTTCTTAAAACTTTGTAAGGTTAACCCAAAAATATCAATATTATTTAAGTTTTTGTTATAAAAATCCAGAGAGCGCCTAAAGAAACCATTTTTAGAATAATTTGTTCTACTAAATTTGCATGAAAAGGTAGCTTCATACAAGTCAAATGACATTTCGGCTCAATTCCTGGTTAGAACGACGTATGTAATGTCAAATATAGTATTTTAAAAACTCCTTGAAAAGTACACGTTTAAAAACGAAGTTAAAATTTACAACTCGCTTCACACTCGATTAACACCGTTATTTATACTCGTACAGCAATGTACCGTAACGCATATGATACTAATTACTATAAACACAGCATGTATCAACCAATAGACATCTCACTACTCGGCACGGGTCTCTACAGAGGGTTTAGGCTAACACAGTGTTTTCCTTCAGAGTTAGGAAGAAGTATTGCTAATAAAAGTGACCTTGCTTTTGCCACATTTAAATAGCGAATGTGGATGGAGGCGTGGGGAGGTAGACCTCGGCGAACATATCTCAATTAGATTGGGGATACCCTTAAAGAAGAGTAGTAGTAGCAGTAGAGCCTTGTGAAAGAGTTCGTCCAGGGAAGTACTGCCACCTTATTTATTTCTTCCGCCAAACAGTAATGTCAGCATTACTGTGTTCCGGTTTTGAAGGGTAAGGTTGCTGGTTAAGTTATAGGCACAAGGGCAGTCGCAGTGCCCCTCAAATCTTTGCGATTCAAAGCTCTGACTGGCACTGAAACTGTTATGGACAGGCGTGTAGCTTACCATCAGGCGTACGCCTTGTTGGTCCCGTCACTTGATATTATAAAAAAAGGCTTTATGTATGTATGTAACGTAAATAAGATCTTTGCTCCGCAGTTAAAACGTCGATAGTAGCCTGAAAGCTTGCGCAATCTTTATGATTACTATGACCACATTACCCTTCACCAGCACAAGTGATAGCTAATTCTTTTCACAACACAAAATCCCGTATGACGCATGCGCGATTCGCGAAGACGGTTGCGCGCGCGCAGATTGCGAAACGTTACGCGACATCCGGCACAGTTCTGTATCGAGGCTACGATAGTGGTGTAGGTACGGTAAATTATGGTAGCTTAAAGAGTTGGATCTAGATTTTGTGTGGACCCGAAATTTTTGACGGACTTCAAAAAAAAGGAGGAACCTCTCAGTTTGTTTGTTTTTGTGTGTCGTAACATACGTTACGACATACACACAACGTTTTCTCCGACATTTGGGAACCGATTTCGAAGATTCTTTTTTGTTAGAAAGGTTAGTGGTCCCATTCGAATTTGAAGAAAACGTTCCACCTCGAAGGGAGGCAAATTAGGGGATGAATCCGGTTCACCCTGTTAATCAATTTCAATAAAACTTGGCAAATAGATTTTATTCCACAAACTTATTAAGTAATGTTTTCATGCAATACTTTTTCTACGACTAAATTAAAATAATGAAACACATGTATATTTTGTTAACAATCCACAAACAAACTCAAAGGAAGCCTAACAAAAGCTAGATACAAAATAAGTGTCCGTGATTGGTCTAATACCGCTCATATCATACCCAATCAGGAGGCAGTACAGCGTTTGAGTAGCGTCATATTTGATATTTTATATTGTTTTTAAATAGTTATTTTTGCCTTTGCACCTGTTATGTAAGATTTTGAGATGTTATTTAATAAAATAATTTAAATTTTAATAATTTCACAAAATGTTGCCTTTATTGTTGTTATACACAGTGACGCGTTTAGGTAGACTTTTTTTAATTAGTAAAAATACAACGTTCTTTTTTTAACCGACTTTAAGAAAAAGGAGGAGGTTCTCAATTCTACTGTATGTTTTTTTTGCGTGTGTATGTTACACGATAACTCCGGTATTTGTGCACCGATTTTCTTGATTATTTTTTGTTGAAAAGAGGGTACTTCCTTAGTGGTCTCATTTAATTTTGAAGAAAATCATCCACCTCTAAGAGTGGCTGTACACGCATGAAGATTCATTTTTATAAATAGCGCCTAAATTTTATTATAAGGAGCAATTATTTTAATGTTTGATTCTGCTATTCTCTAATTCAAGGCGTTTTTCTCTCAATATACTTTGAGTAGTGAGAACCGATTTTTATTATCTCCTGTGTCAAGTCCCGTATGGCGGCGAACTAGGGGATGAATCCGGGTTTGCGCACTTTCCGGTAACCGATTTCAATAAAACTTGGTAATAATATGTAATTCCACGTACTTGTGAGGTCGGTTTTTTTAGTACCCTGTACTGAGATTATTGAAATTACAATTGATAGATTAAAGTACAGGGTAGAAAAGAAGTTATTTCGTTCTGGTTACAGTACTAAATATTAATAAATACAGTACGTACATAACTTACAAATTGAAGACTCCGTACATGTTTCCTTTCAATCGATACTTGTGCAATTAAAAATCGTAAATATAAGTGTCCCGCTTCTGTCATAATTAATATTCGAAAGGTGTCCAATAAGAAATACCGGGACGCAATACGGTTATGTGCTTGTTATTCAATATGGAGACCGGTTAGCACGTAGCTTGACCCAGTCTAAAGAACTTCGTTTATCCAATTAAGTTGAAGGTTAGAAAAACAGAAAATTGTGGCTATAGGATCCTAGCAGGAGATCGGCTGCTTCTCAATTTACAACATGTTATTATTAGGCAACATACAGTGTGTTTTTTAACTAGGACAGTATTGGGAAATCCGAAACAAGAAAACATTCGAGTTCTAGAAACGAAGCAAAAAGGACATGACTCTATAAAATGGCGGCCGAATAGTTATTTGTTATGCAATGCTGCAAAGTTGTTGTTTGACGCGAGTGTTGATTGAAACCCGATCACGCGAAGGAGTATAAGATTGAAACTATAAGGTTCAAAAATAGAATCCTGAGCCTAGCGAGGGTTTCAAGCCACGAGACGCAAAACAATTTTGCCACAAAACAGCCGAGCGAAACACACAATTTTTCACTTCACCGTAGCAAGGAAAATGGTAGATGAAAAAAAAAACAATTGAACTGTAACAAATCGGTTTTATTACACAAAATTAGTTATCGTTGTCAATTTAATGTCAACAATAATAAGTATAAAATACACCAATGGATTTAGATTACTTAAATAATGTTCGACAAATCGGGTAGTTGAACGTATCATTTTGGTAAAAAGAAGTTAGCTGCACTATAGTCCATCGTCTAGTTCGAATTTCAAAAACCTTTTAGACGCTAGGGTGGAAGAAACAATTGCGCGCAGATTTCTAATGAGAAAGAAAGCCTTCCCGAGCTAGTGAGGTGAAAAAAAATGTTTGTAATCTCGATTGTGTTACCAGTGTCATAAAATAATTCACGACCTTAGATATAGTTATTGTATGAAACGAAATTATATAAAAGTATATTTTGCAAAATGTGAAGCGGTCTAAGTTTTATCAGAATAGGAAATACAGGGAACCTGTCTTAGGAACCATGAAAGTCTTTTTTTGTGAAAACAATTTTGGCTTAGCTCGAGTTGCCCATAAAAATAAAATTAATTAAATTTCTAAATATTTTTTTTCAATTCCGATATGCTCAATTTCATGATAAGGATAATTTCACTGTATCGAAAGAAAAAAAAACGGTATAGCAGAAATTTGTCAAATTTGATAAAACGTAGAAAACGAATAAAATTGCCAAAAAATTGAATACCAAACTTGTTGTCACAAAAAACCACTCGATCACGGAGATCGTCAACACAATGTCATAGTAAAAACAATTTTTCATTTGTTACAGATCCGTCCACCACTCTCAAATAAATACAATGTGAATAACATCACAATTATCTAGTGAAGAAATTAAACATACAAGTGACAACTAGTTAAAGAATTTAAAAGTGAAGTGACAGAGAGAAAGTGATAAGAAGTGACAAGTATAGTGAACTATGTACTAAGAGAATGGACTAGAGACAACAAGATGGCGTCGAGAACAAAATGGCGGACGAAATGCCGCCTCGGAGCTGTATTGTTTGCAATATTAATTCAAGTTGTTAACGGTAAGAATACTTTAATATTTTTAGTTTCTGGGATGTCCGCGATTAAGTTGCAATTATGATAAAATTTATTATTTTGCTAAATGTAGTTGCAATGGAAGTTGAGCCTTAACACAAGCCAAACACTCTACGTCATCAGTAGAATGAAAAGAGAACGATCGATGGTGCCTTACCAAAACTACCATGTAAATTACTAGGCATGCAGCGATTTACTCTTCAAAACAAATGTATTTCTTTATAAAATATAGTAACTCTGTAATCAATATTGAGCACTTTAATCGTAAGTAAAAACGAATGGAAACAAATGTCAAATAATTAGTAAGTTACGGCATGTATTTAAATGATGGTTTTAAATTTGCAAAAGCAGCAGGCAAAAAGACCTAAACCATTATCTTTTTTAACGATTGTGCCTTTTTCTCTGAGACATAAAATAAATTAAAACAATGTATGTATCAATCTGTTCTGAGCTAATGAATTGATTTCTATAAATTAACTTTGATAGTCTTCGCTTCTGCAACTCGCCGGCCGCTGCCGAGGCTACTCACTTAACTTAACCTACTGAACGGAGAGCGCAACCCAGATTTGATCTATATGAAAAAAAAAGTATCAAATATTATTTTTAACTATTATAAACGTAATGATAGTGTTACCTTGAATGCAGTTAATTTATAATCCGTATATCAACTAATATAGACGGAATTTAAAAAAAATATCGTTTATTTAACAAAGTGCACATTTACAATAGCTCAATTATATCTTTGAGGATGAAATGATGTTGTGCCATAAGTTACGCCATCGAAACAAAAATTACATTTCCATACGTTTCAATCTTTGCGACTAAAGCTAGAACTGTAACTGTTATGGAAGGCGTGTCGCTTGATATAATAAAATAACTATGCTTCAAAAATACTTAGACACTCTTGAGAAATTTAATCATCCAAAAGCAAAGTCCATGACGAATACACCGAATACGATACGGTAAAGAGGAAAGCCTTTATTTTTTTGTAAAAAAAGATATCGCTATCTCTGTCGATTAAATTATTCCGTAGGAAGTAAGAAAGAGACTACTGTATTTATTGTCATTCGTACCACCTGCTCAAGTTTGTGTAGTCGAGTCGCGACTCCAATTATCAAAATGGAAATATAAAAACTGGTTAGTTTTTTAACCTTTTAAACGGTATACGGTGGGCCATTTCAAAAATAAAATCGTCATTGAAATTCAGAGTTGAAAATTCTGACACAGACCATTTAGATAGCAAGTTGTACTCCCAGCTTTAAATCGCAAAGATCTGAGTGGCACTACCACTGCATCCGTCACCCTGAGACATATGACAAGTCCCATGTACCTGCAATTTCACCAGCACCTTTACCCTTCAAGACCGGAACGCAACAAAGCTCGCATTACTGCTTGGCGGCAGAATTAGGTAAGGTGGCAGTGCTACCTGTAGTACGAACTCTTTCAAAGTTATAACTTCTCCCTTTTGCGTCCGAGGTTTTAATGGAATTGCTAAGTTGTCTAGAACGCCCAAAAACTACTAATTCAACATCGTTTGAGTCTACCTCCCTTATACGAAGATGTTTTTAAAACATCATGATGTCATCAAAGTTTGAACCAACCAACCGTGGACTTGTCTGAGGGGTCAATAGCCCCTGTGACCAAAAACAAGGTTTTTAAGGTTGTTTTCGCACGATCATTTAGATTTAGAAATTTGCACAGTTTATCTTCGAGTTTTTTCAGAGTTGAGCGGTCGACACATTACACATTTCACTGCTGGGTACGGCTCTCCTTTGAAGGTCTTGGTCCAGCGATGCCACCTCACCTATATCTTCCGTTTTCGAGGGGTGAGGATGTTGGTGAAACTACAGGTTCACGAGACTTGTTCACTTCATGTCTCTGGGTGTCACATTACTGCTTGGCGGCGGAAGTACGTACCTATGTACCTAGACATCAGAACGGAAAAAATAGACTCTTTCCAGATGTGGTGTTGGAGAAGGATGCTTCGTCAAACCAACATAATTGAGTAGCTTAATATCGCAGACAGACTTTCCACAATATGCTACCAGTGAATCCTACAGTATTTTGGTTATATTGCTCGCCGACTATCAGACAACCTTGACAAACTGGTTGTCGTGGGAAAGAGACTCCGCGGTCGATCACCTAGCCGATGGAGTGACCAAGTGACCGCCCTCACCGGCCTCCCTATAACAACTGCACTGAGAGAGGCAGAGGACAGAACCAGATGAAAGAAAATTGCCCATAAAGTCTTTCGGTGACACGACCTTCAGCAATGAAGATGAGACTAAGAAGAAGTATGTATATTACTTACACTGGTCACTAGAAACCTTTCATAGATGTTAGGTACATCATGTGTCATCACAGACAATTTGTGGACTACGTCATGTGACGGACAAATAAAAAGAATTCCAAAACCTGACACATTTGTATCATTAGAACGCGATGAATTTGTGGAAAAATGAAAGCCATTCTTATTCGTGGAGTGAAAGTAAACATTGCTGCGCGGGCGCAGATGAGCAAAGTTTTGTTGAGCATTTCGCGCCGGCTACGGACAGATATGTCGACGTGGTCAAATTGTAAATCTAGATAGATAAAACGTTTTTTGTCTTACATCACACAACGTTATAACACGATTAAAACGAGAAACTAACAGAAATTAAAATTAAAAGTGGGAATAACTTGCGCCTGATGTTAATGATGACAGCGACATGGGAAGGGAACTTAGGGCTTTGTCAGTTAGGGCGAATGTGATCGCACGCAGCTTCGCAAGATATTCGGGTAAGTTGAAGGTAACTCTCTCCCGTGCTTATTGTACCTCCCTATATATACGCATTCGATTCATTGGGTTGTAATGGATCACATGCATCTGACTCGTCTTTTCGTCTAAGACCATTCTTTTATGGGGAACTGTACACGTTTTTACAATAAGATTCCGGTGCATATATTAAGATTACCATTTCCTAACTTTAGAATAGAATAGAATACGTTTATTTGCCAGAATACAGTATTTATACAGATCTTGAGTAAAATTAGGTATTTTATTAGGCAATTTGTAAGTACTAAATATTATTTATTACTTTAAAAGCAATGTGCCAAAAGCCATTTTGTCAATTGTGATCATTGACTTACAATTATATGGACGTCGGGTCCGCGCTAAAAAGTGTCCGAACTTATAAGGCATTAAAATCGTATACAGAGCGTCATTCACGCTTTAGTCTTCGTTTGTTCGACTGACAGCGACGCAAGCAAAATTAGACAGTACTGCGATGACATTAGAATTTAAATTCAACGTTTTAGCTTTTTCATATTCCTTTACATGTCACTACGTTTAAATAGGTTGACTTGGGACATTTTTTTCGTGGTTTTTGTATTAGACCCGTCGTCCATTTATTTGTAAGTCAATGATTGTGATTTAAAAGATTCTTAGAAATGTACTCTTATAAACGAGGTTGTGTCAATTTATTTATATTTTAAATATTCTTTGATATCATATACACACAGATCACATAACAATTCAAATAATTTCTTTTTAAATATGTTTAAGGGTAAGTCTGCGATCGTTGCAGGCAAAGCATTATATATTTTTATGGACATATTATAGCTATTCCAAGAAAAGCACGTAGTGTTATGAGAGGGGCCAGTTAAAAAAGTACATACTTCACGTTTCCTAGTAAATAGGGCCAAATTTTTTTAACAAACATGCATAGCTAAATACGTACACAGCGGGAAGCGTTAGAATTCTTAGCTTTTTAAAAAGCGATCTCCAAGATTCAAACAGGTTTACTCTTCATATAGCTCTGACGCACTTTTTTTTGGATAAGAAACGCACGATTTAGCTGTACGCAGTAGTTTATTTGAAAAAAAAAATGTTTCTTTATTTAGGTATACACCCATTAATAAATTTAACATTATTTATTACATTCTCTAGTAGTAGTAGAGTCTAGATTCTATGCAATTATGATTCAAAGTGTTTTCCATAGTATTCAAGGTTATTTGAAAAGAGCAATCCCTAGAGTTTCTAGCTCATTCTTCTTAGGGAGGTCAGCGTAGTGAACGAGCAATAAATGACGTTTTCAAGTAAAAATTGTAAAAATTTTACCTATGGAATAAATTTATTTATTTTATTTTTATAAAGTAATACAAAATAGTAAAAATTACTGGGACAATAGGCGGCCTTATTGCTAAATAGCTACGTTCAGATTATAGGAAAAAAATGTAAGTTAAAATTAATTGACGGCACTACAAATCTACAAGTCTACAAATGAAGACAAAAACATAAAATGCTAAATAAATAAAAATATATACATATAATTACATAAATTGAAGTAGTATATTATAAAACACAATTGCAATAACAACACACGAATTTTAAAACGGGTAAGAATAGGAGAAAAGAATAAATTAGAATATAAGATAATGAGCTTTGGGTACAGTGTTAAAAGACTGAACAGACTTAGGGCATCTGATCGATTCAGGCAGGGAATTCCACAGTTTGATGCTTCTAACGTTGAAGGAGTTGGAGTAGAGGTTAGAAAAGTGGATAGGACAGTGCTTCTTCTTCTTATCGTGTCGATACTTTATTTATTTTAGGATTATATTGACCCTAACGTCAAAGTATGACTGCGCTGTCCGTGGCCGCGTAGAGATCTTACCTCGTAAAGGTGTTAGGACACAAGGGGCATAACAGTAAGTGCCGCATGTACGGCGTTGGGGCACCGCAGTCACATTGGGTTTGCCTAGTATCCTTGAAACTCCATTTACACATCGTATCTCTGCAGCGTCCTACCTAAGTGCAAAGGCGATTGAAGGACTTCCACACGGGCCACCGCAGGTCGCAATAGTAGTGCTGTGAAACACGAAACAATCTTTGAGAAGGAAGTTCGTTCTTTGTAGTAAGCGGCATAGAGCTGAATTTAAATCTCAAGTGTCAAGCGTGATGTAGACCCGCGAGACCTACAAACCTGTGCAGCCGTGGCCTTGAATAAAA